TCCCATCTCTCCATCCATCCATCCATCCATCCATCCATCCATCCATCCATCATCCATCCATCCATCCATCATCCATCCATCATCCATCCATCCATCCCCACCAACGTCCATCTCTCCACCCCCACGTGCAGCCAACCCTTCTCTTCCTCTGTCCCTCCTCATCCTCCGTCCCTTCCCACCATCCATCCATTCCCTCATCCCTCGTCCTCTCCAACCCCACCTTCTCTCCACCTCCTCCACGGTCTCGGGCAGGGCCAGGTTCCGTGTCTCGGGCAGGAACACGGCCACCAGCCCCGACACCACGGGCGCGGCGCCGTAGATGATGAAGGGCAGAGCCGGGAAGACCTCGCCCACCATCTTCACCAGGGGGGCAATGATGCTGCCCAGCCGTGACATGGTGTTGGCCAAGCCCATGCCCGTCTGCCTGTGGGACACCCAGAGCTCCTGAGGGCACCTGAGGGCACCTGAGGGACCACCCTGGCACGGCCAGCCCGGCCACACCCCCTCCTTACCGGATCACGGTGGGGTAGAGCTCGCCCGTGTAGAGGAAGACGCAGTTGAAGGACGCGGCCAAACAACCTTTCCCAAAGACGGCCAGGGCTGTCCGGAGTGTCTGGAGATCTGTGGGGACAATGGGACACCTGGGCGTCACCTCCGTGTCCCTACTTGGGCTGGGCTCGCTTGACAAGAGAAAACCCCAAAAACCAGGATTTGGGGTAAATCCCCCCCAAAAAGCCAAAATCACCCAATCTGGGGGTCCCATCAATGGGTTGAGCTCATCTGGGCCATCCCAGGGAGGTTGGAGATGAGGGGACACCACTGCCACCACCCCTGGCCTCACCTCGTGGCACAAAGACGTTGGCCAGGATGGCCAAGCCAGCCAGGATGAGGGCGGCGGCCTGGGTGAAGCGGCGCCCCACGTAGGTGATGGTGAGGATGGACACCAGCTTGGCCGGGATGTCCACGGCACCGAAGATCAGCTGGATCACGTAGATGTTGAACTCAAAGTTCTGCAGGTCCATGGCCAGCCCGTAGTAGGCGAAGCTGGTGGAGAACCTGGGCCATGGTGGCGGGGGTGAAAATGTGGGGAGGTGTGGGGTGGCAATGGGGGGGTCAGGGATGTGGAGGGGGATGGACAACCACCCACTGGTGTCCTCCACCGCCGGCCGTACCACACGAAGCAGAGGCAGAAGGAGATGCGGCGCACGACCGGCGT